GTATTAACCAATCCAGTGACAAGAGGCAGTTCTGAAGCTGAAGCTCTGACATCCCTAATGAAAATAACTCCATCAGTTGACTCTCTTAAGGCTGGGAGAGAACATGCTATCCTTAAGACATGCACGTTTATCCCTTATTTCCAGCCATAGATAACCTCTCCAACACAGACAAGCAGTGCCTGTACCTTCCAATCTGGAGGGCCACACTTCTTTTTAAAAAATATTTTTATTGTTTTATAGTGTACACAAGAAACAAAGCAAACCACAGAAAAACAAAAACAAACAAAAACGGAAAAAGTGAAAAAAGATATACAAAAGTGCAAGCAAGTTTACAGAATCATATACAGTCAGTGCTCGTTAAATATGTTGAAAATCAACTTCGACTGTACAGAAATTATACCTTAACATTTATTGTCCCTCTATCCTACTCCCGTGAACCCAACCACCATGACCTCCCTCCGTTCACACCTCGATATAGATCACATAACTAACCCATATGTCATTAAATCCCCTTTATGACGATCTTCAAATCTACTTTTGTCTTCTTTTCCAAATACCCCAGTGTTAATCTCCATTTTTATTTTTATTTTTACAAATTCTTCATTATTTCCTCCTCTGCTTCTATTTGTCAGCTTGGCCATTTGGATATAATCTATTAATTTATATCTCCAATCTTTAATAGTTAACTCTTTTCCCCTCTTCCATGTTTTGGCTATTATTAGTCTCGCAGCAACAAAGCAATATTGACAAATTTCTTGATCTCCTGTGCTAATACACCTTCTAAATATTCCTAATAAGCACATTTCTGGGTTTTTCATGACCTTTTTGTTAATCATATTATTTCTTTCTTTCACTATTTCCCCCCAGAATTCTTTAACTATATTATAGGTCTATCATACATGGAAAAAAAGTCCCTTCACCTTCTTATATCTCCAGCAAGCCCTCATCCTGCTTTCTCTACGTTAGCCAATAACGTATTTTCTCTAACTGAACCAGCCACTGAAAATCTCATCCCCATTTTCCAAAGATGTTCCCATTCCATTTCCAAAGATGTTCCCACATTTCTCAATAGACCCAGTTAATAAGTCATTTGGACTACAGCCCCTATTACCCAAAATGTTAGCCATGTTAACTTGAGTTGTTGGGTGTTATAGTCCAAAACATCTAGAGATGGGCTTAACTGGAAGAAGTTGGTATCTCTTTGATCAAAGAGGCAGCTCATTAGCTAACTTGCACTTCAGGAGATAATGATTGCAATTGTGATATTAGCAAATAAAAATGTAAAAATCTTGTCCTAACAAACTCATGATCCTTTAATATACTGCTATTGCATTGTTTAGCTTGTAACAATTATAAAGAGAAGACAAAAGAGATATGCTATCCAAAGACAACAAAAAGCAAGTGAAGTCAAAAGAGTGATATTCACCAAAGACAACAAAGAATAATCAATTGGCCCAGTTGTTTTAAAGAAACCCACCTCTGAATTTGAAAGGATATTGATCTGGGAGCAGGCACAGAACATGGGAAAGCTCAACAACAAAAAGAGAGGTGTTTGTAAAATAACTAAATTCGATCTGGTATTTGCTACGTATGATCTTGAGAACGAAATAATCATGTTTGTGTTTGGACTGTTGATAACAGTTTTGAGTTCACACTCTGTTGTTTTTTCACATGATAATGAAAAACATTCCCTGCAAGCAGAGGTGGAATGCACAATACAGATTCCAGATTTGCTGCTAACAGTACTCAGTAAAGATTGGTTATCTTTGAAATAACAGAACTTATGGGATTTTGATAGAGCTGTGGGGACTGTGCTTTGTTTTAAGGAGTCCTTTGAATTTATTTAGTGTGTGTGGTTCAAATTATTTAGAGTGGTTTTACAACTAGCCCAGACTTGAATGAAGCCAGAAAACAAACAAGTAGAGATGTTAAATTGGATTTACAAGAGACTACACTGATATGGCTTTAATCATGTTTGCCTGATCCTAACATCCCTAGATGCATTGGACTACATTTCCCATCAAGTGTAGCCAAAATAACTATTTTTCTTGTGTGGTGGGTGTTGTCATTCAACTAAATCTATAGGTTGGAAAAATCTGTTTTATGTTGTCAGTTCATTTTCTTGTTGGTCATAAGGAAGATCATAAGACTGTTTGTAGCGTGATCCAATATATACATCTGCAGAATGTATCCTTGTGGCAAAACAAGCAGAATCCAAGAATTATCTTGAGAGGCAGTGTGATGCCTGACTAAGATTTTAAAGATCCAGGTTCATCTCCCCATGAAATTCTCTGGCTAGCAAGTCACTTGGGCAAGTCACTGCCTCTCAACCCAACACTGTGCTGTTGTTGCCCTGTGAAGAATATCCTGATGCCTGAGATTTAAGCACAATTCTGGTAATATGAGAGAGGGCAAACTATAGTGATATAATTAAGAACTATACTTGAGATGTTGAAGAATATGGTCATTGTCGTTGAGAATGTCATTCAAATAAAATGTACAAAGGCCAACAAATCAGAAAATATTTCTCCAGTTTTCAAACTGCATGGAAGAGAAAAAAGTTGATCCTCTCCCCCAGCTCTACTGAAAGGAATCTTTTTAAAATAATAATAACAATAATATTTTTTCTTGCTTGTCTACTTTGCAAAGTTTCCTCTTTGGGATTTTAAAAAGATTAGGCTATGCATTGGCTACCATATAGACTTATGTATAAGTTGACCTCATGTATAAGCTGAGGACAGATTTGGGAATCAAAATTATGGATTTTGATATGATCCATGAATAAGTTGAGGCCATTCCACAAAGGGGGAAGTGTCAGCATCACTTCAGGGAGCCAGTCACTCTTGACTGCCAATGATGCAGTCCACCTAGACATTCAAAAAGGCCAGAAGCGGCACCCCAGTGAAGAGAATAATGGTGGTTGGTGCTTAAAATGTTTAGACTGATACATGAGTATATACAGGAATTCAAAGGGAGAAATGGGTTTCTCTACAGATATTATTTGACTGCAAAAGAGTATTCCTGACCACTGGATATCTAGATTGGGGCTGATGGGATGTGTGGTCCAACAATATCTAGAGGACTGGATTTTGTTCGCTCTGGTTTTTAACTGCTTAATGTCTTGCTTGCTTTTTTAAAAAAATGTTCAGTTTCTGTGGTATTTTACAGTATGCTAAGTCATGCTTATTTGGGAAGATAATTTATCCTAAAAGCCAGCTTAAAAACCCATAAAATAAAATAATGTCATTGTGATTTTGTATTAGTAATATTAAACTAGGAAAGAAGATGCAGTATATATTTCCACTAATAAATGAATAAGATAGTCATAATTCTTTTAATGGGATAACTACGTTTCCCCATCATTTGTAGGAAAGCAATTTGCCACCCCTGACTGGATAGAGATGCAATATTCCACTCCTAACTCTATATGCAGGATCACTATGTTAAGATTTTGAAAAATGAAGCAAGTGTAAAATGTTCCTCTGCCCCTAAAGCAAACTTAGAGAGTAAATTGTTAAAGATACAACAAGTTCCTTCACAATGTGGTTTTCTGGTTTGACAAACATGATTTGTGCAAACAATATAAAAATCTTCGTGCGGTCATCTCAGCCAAACCAGCTTTTTACCACACTTGAGAAAAGAGGGGGCAGATGAGTGAGAAGAGTTTCACTGGTATAAATATCCAGCCACAAGTTCACAAAGATTTTAGTTCAGCTACATCCCAACTTATTTTGATTGTCAGCTTTTTATCTGTGTTGTTATTTCCACTATAAACCTTGTAAAACTTCTTAATGGCATGGCAGTTTCAGAAGTTAGTCTAAGTATAAACTTGTTCTAACAGAATAATAATTTTTTCAGAGGCTGGCTTTCATCACCTGTGGGGCTGTTGATGTAAGAGTAGACAGCATTCAAATATGAAAGCTCCTAGTGCAGAGTTTAACAACAGCATTCCTCATACTCTGCTTATTCAGGTCATTTTCCTTATGAACCTCTGTGTATTTTTGAAAAAAAATGCATAATACATTGCTCTGCATGCACACTTTTTTAGGTGTTTATGAACATCCCCTTGAATTTCAGTGACATATATTTAGTGTAAACCAGCTGCTCAGCCAGAACATCAGCTGATGGTTTGGCTGCAAAACATCTACAGACAGACTGTAGGTATTTTTGCCTATAATTCTCGTAATCTGTGACTATTGATCATGCTGGCTACATCTTATGTCAGCTGAAGAAAGGGGTTCTTTTTTCTCTATTCTTCTGTTGTGATTTTTAATTTGAAAGATATCTTAAACCTGTGCATTTTTACTATCACTCTACACATGTTTATGAAATCAGAAACAGTATCAGCACATTTTTACATGAAATAAAACCCACATTAGGAAGCATAAATTACTGTTTTAATTTATATTGTAAGCAACTTTGAATCCCATTCAGGAGAAAAGCTGTATATAAACAAAATAAATATATATTTTTTTAAAAACCAAATGTCTGTCTTTAGAGATTTTGTATGAAACTATTTTCCAATCACAATTACTTAAACATTTCTTGACTACTTTCAATGGGAAAGAATCACTTTTCCATCAAGAAAAGCAAAACGGTTGCAAGACCTAGAAGTGACATCATAAAACAATAGATGTGCGAGAATTATAGGCAAAAATACCTATACTTCTAAAAATGCTTATGACTAGAAATACATCCTTTGAGTGTCAATTTCAGTTGGAATGTCACTCATTGGCTAAAAATGCCAGAAGGTGGAAATGAACAAATTTCTCACAAAATCACTAAGTAGAGCAGTACTTGCATGTTTTGTCTGCAATCATGGATTCTACAGATGCTAGAGATTTAATTTCTTTAAAATGACAACAAGAAACAAAATATGCACAGAGTAGTATGGCTGGGATACCATTAACAGGGCAACAATGAACTCCTAACCTGATGAATTTGCCACATCACAAAGTAATTCACATTTTTGCAGTTTATCTATTAAAATGGCCACTTACATTCATATTTCTGTCCCAGATCTGAATGGAACCATCTTGGCTTCCTGCGGCAATGAGTTTTCCATCTCTGCTGTATGTGCAGCTTGTAGGTATCACCCGTTTACCTTGAGCCGACCGTGGTTTAAACACACCTTTGTGTTTTTTGTCATTTGTGACATCCCAGGTTCTCACAGTCCTAGAAAGAGACGAACGGAAATGACAGTTTTAGAAAATGTTTAAAACAGATGAAATGAACACCCAGTCACAACTATGAATTAATTTACTCTACTACCCCACTAGTCCCCAAAGACTACCCCAAATAGACAAAAGAAAAAAAGAAATAATCAGTTAAAAATGCAGCTGGAAATGAAATCAAGTAATTTCAGGCACACTGGAATGTGCTGCATGCCACAGAGGTGCAGGGATAAAAAAAACCTGTCCCTAATGTATTTGCAGTTGCCCTCCCCTTGTAGGCAACCACTATATCATATTGTACCAATGACAGGACTGTAAATGAAGTACCTGTAAGGATCATACAACCAGAAATATAAAATACACAGTAGTTGATAATAGCCAATTATCTCCAATTTCTCACAAACAGAAGTAGGGACATTTGGATTGTGTGTTTATGCTATCCACACTTTGACAAATATGACACACTGCTTGCTACCATTCACTTCTTTTACACACTGCCCATGATTGTTCTTTACTTGTGGAATTCTATGTAGCAGGGGAGGAGAACCTTTGGTCTCTTAGCTGTTCTGAACTCCCCGAAGCCGCAACAAGCACAGCCAACAATAACGGATTATGGGAGCAGTAGCCCCAAACATTTCGACAGCCAAAGTCCTTGCTGCTGCATACATTTAACATGTAACCACCTGTCTTGCAATTGCCGCCAGTGTGAAACTGGCAGAAAGGGTTTTGTAACAGTTTAGAATGTGTTATGGAACATTTAATATCACCATGGAGTAGACATACATATAAACAGATATAACTAAAACATCTTTATAGGCCACTGGAGGAGCAAAAGAGAGCAGGAAATCCTGTGTATTGTCATATACAAATATATATGTTAACACATTAATTTTTCATTTTAAAAATTCCCAAAAATGTGCACTATCCCTGAAGGCACCTAGTACATACAGTATATAATCACTTGAGACACTTGATGAATACAAAAATCCATTACTGAACACACACTGAAGTATGAATGGACCTAATTTGTGCTACACCTCTAATGCAAGTGAACACACACTAAGGCATTTTTACAGAACCTGTGGCCTAAATGTTATACCCGTCCAGTTCCCATCAGTTCTGGTCACCATGACCAATGGTCAGGAACAATAATCCCTGTTGTATAGCAAAAACATTCAGAGTGCCATAGGGTCCCCACTCATTGCATACAACATAGATCTTAAGAAATGAATATGCAATAATCTTCTCACTGCAGAACCCCATAGTGAACACAAGTTGCTGATCTCACAGTCAAATGCTTTTTAGGTAGGATTAGGTAGGATTAGGCAAAACAGGACTACAAATAGAAAGAGAACTCAATCTTTTTCCTTTACGCTCACATGACATTGAGACACACACCTAAATGTTCACTGTCCAAGGATGTGCCAAATAATTCATTCTGGAGAAAAGATGATACCTAAGCATTATTATGCAGATTAACATATTTGACCAGAAATATAGCCATGCCACAAGACTGCACAGAAGGAATGTCCAATCTTTAAAGAATATTAGAATGGCTGTGATGGATCGGAATCAAGGTTCATGCAGTCTATCATTCTATTTCCATAGGGATCAACCAAATATCTTTAGGAAACCCAAAAACAAGATGAGAATTGAATAGAATCATCCCAGTTTTGCTCCCCAATTATTAGTACTGAGAGAACTGGGCTTGAAAGCAACTAGTTATAAACAACAAGCTAATAAAGAAGTTATTGCGGATTAAAAGATATCTGATTAAAATAGATTTGTGCTGCCAACTTATCGTTTTGGCAGTCTAGCCTACCAGTTGTGTGCTTCTTGTTTCACCATACCTAGGAATATAGCACACAATTGCAATTTGGTGCTGAATGTGAAGATAAGCAGTTTCAGTTGGGCCATAGTTAGAAAGGATTCTGGAGTACCGGTATATTGGATTTTTAAACACTCTCTGTCATTTCCAACTTATGGCAACCTGAAGGCAAACGTTAACATGGAGTTTTCTTAGCAAGACTGCAAAAGATGTGATTTGCCTTCGTTTTCTCTGAGGCTGAGAATGTGTGACTTCCCTAAGGACCCCCAGCGGGTTTCCATGGCTACGCAGCAATTCGAATCCTGGTCTCCAGAGTCATACACCGCACTGGCTCTCTATGTTCCTAATACATTTGGCAACAAATAATGATTGAATATTTTCCCCTCCAGAATTATATTTTTTCCCATTGCTCATTCCACCAATGACTTTACTGGTGAAAATAATGCTGCCTTTTTATTATGTTTCTTAGAAACAAATCAAAACAATGGAGAGCTTCAGGAATGGGGAGGAAAGACAAGAGAAATGCAGGTGGACAGATTAAATAATTTTATGCATAAAAGATTACTGTCCTTTCAAAATGCTGAAGTTTTTCCAGATTACTTGCCAAACATTCTTCTGGCAACTAACCCAGAAAAATATTTCAATATTCGACAGTCCAAGGAGCTAAATGATTATCAGTGTGCACTTCAGACAAAACTAATTTGCTTGCAATTCAACATCAATATTTAGGATCCAAGTACATGTAATTTGTTGGTTCTCTTGCCAAGGTAAAGGCTACTGTATTAAAACAGCCATCTTCCAATAAGATAAGGCTGTGTGAACAAGGACCAAGAGTAGCATTTCTAGCAGGTTTTGCAAAATCAAATTGGGCACACATGATGGGAAGAGACCACACACAGGCAAATTCATACCAGTTACGCGATACGCAAAAGGGCATATATAATTAGATCCCAAGAATTGCTTGGCCTGACCAAATGGAAAAGTCTCCTACAATCCTTAAATGCATTTCTTCCTCAATAATCTGTACACATTGCCCAGTTTCCCTAGATTTCATCTACAGCACTGAAATGATTTGGCATTCTGCAAAAGAGTATCCATTTGTGATTCGACTTTCAGTCACTGAATAGCATCTATTGTTTTCACCTTCTAACACTCCCAGAGAATTTCTTGGAACTAAAGTGGGGAATGCTGCTAACAGCATTCTACTGCATTGTTATATTCTTTTTTTTCTTTAGAAAAAAATATTTGGCAAGGAGTAATTCACCAGAATAAGGATGAGGAAAGGAAGGCTACAGCAAGCAGAACAGAAGGAGGAAAACAGGCAGATAATACGAGGGCACTGGGTGGAAAAAGTCAGGAGGTTTATTCCATCCATAAGAAACAGAAATGCAGCATGGATGACATCTAGCCAGATGCCAAGCATGGCTGAGTCTTAGAGCTTAGAAAAGTTATGTTTTCCAATTCCCAGAATCCCCAGCCAGCATGGCCACTAGCCACAGTGAATTCTGGGACTTATAATCCATAAGAAAAACATTTGCAAACTTCACTGGTGGTCCATGTCCACATGACTCCTGATATTGTGCAACTCTGGCCAACTAACTTTGAAAAAATTCATTAACGCACTGACAATTCCCTTCTCTGATCTTGAGTTGGGCATCTATATTGGAGAATTAATGCAGCTTAACACCATTTTAACTGCCATGACTAAATGCTATGGAATCATGGGAATTGTAGTTTGGTGAGGCACCAGCACCATTTGACAGAGAAAGTCAAAAACCTTGTAAAATCACAACTCTCGTGATTCCATAGCATTCAGTCATGGTAGTTAAAGCTGTGACCAAACTGTATTAATTCTACAGTGAACTGTAGATGCACCCATGGAGATGTAGTAAACATGGAAATTGTGCGTATGGTCTAGAGTTCTAGATATGACTCCTGATTTGACAACCTGTTATTGACAAAAAATAATAAGGACCAGACTATGAGTGTAAAGAGGGTTTTCCCCTTTTCTTTGTTTTTCTACACAGGTCACACATTGCTTGCTTGTGTTTATTTCTGTTTAAATACAACTGGTGTTCTTCTAGTTAGCTTTTCAAACATGTTGGACAATACAGCAGCCACTATGCAGAGGCTAAACAGGTCTGGGTCTTGTCAGTGGCTGCAGGAGAAGACCACCTGCAAACCCCAGGTTCAGCAATTTGAATTCCACTGAATGGAAAAAGAAGGTGGGATACAAATGTACTAAACTACATAGAATAGGCTGGAAGAAGAAACAAACAAAATTTACTGTATTAACTAACACATGTAGGCTACAGTTTGGTTATTTGACAAGCAGGTCTGGAAACTGAATTCCTGACTATTTTTCATTTTGTTTAACCAAAACCTAATAAAATATATGTAATCAGGGAAAAATCAAACTGCTGAAAATATTTGCTTTACTCCAAACAAAATATACAAAAGATATGCCAGAAATAAACACATTTTAAAGGCAAAACATTAATTTGAACGCAAAGAAAATAGAGAATTCAGAAATCTGAAGATGTACACAATATTCTTTAGCTGGAACGACTGATGTGGAATACTCAATACCTACACTTTTTACATGTAACTGGCTTTTTAAAAGTTGTAGATTCCACATCTGCAAAACAGACTTTGTGAAATGCTTCTAAGTGCCAAAGAGTGATTCAAAGCAAATTTGAAAGAGATTGAAATGTCTTTTGGAAGGTAAGAGAGGTATGGTCACAATCTAAGAATGTAAATAATTTGGGTAAACAGCTGATGCTATTATTGGAATAAGTTTTTTAAGTTCATCAAATGTGTGTTTCTTTTTTAATTTTATAACAGACTCATTCCTAGTATCTTTCTGCATACTATACTGTAAAGAAGAGTCTTAATAAAAAAAAGATTATATAAACCAGGAATCCACAGACTGCACAGAATTATAGGGCTCTATTTCCATGCTATCAACGAAGAATCTTACCTGTACCTCCCACAGGAGAACCAAGCTTATTGTCCCATGTAGGATAAATACAATAAGATAGTACAGGAAACCAATCAAATAACTGAATGAATGGGAAACAGGAAACTAATCCAGAGACATAAAACAGAAGATCAACAGGTTATGGATAAAACTTACTAGAAGTGTGCATGAGAGTGAGAAAAAATGTGAACAC